TCAGCATACAGATTGAATAGTATGATGAAAGGATACAACTCTGATGCAAACATTTCCTGATTTTAAACTGTGTAGGAGTAACCCCTTGTTCTGTCCAAATAACTGCCTCTTGGTGCGTGTACAGGTTCCTCATGAGCACAATTAAGTGTTCTGGAATTCCCATTCTTTGAAAGGTTATCCATAGTTTGTTATGTTCCACACAGTTGAATGCCTTTGCATAGTTAATAAAGCAAAAGGAAACATCTTTCTAGTATTCTCTACTTTCAGCCAATATGCATCTGACATCAGCAATGCTATCCTTAGTTCCACGTCCTCTTCTGAATCTGGCTTCAATTTCTGGCACCTTCCTGTCAGTGTACTGCTGAAACCATTTTTGAATAATCTTCAGCAAAATTTTAACTGATGATATATGAAGGGGGGATAATAATCAATGTAATGAAACAAGCTATATGAATGGTTGAATGTGAAGCTGATGATGTGCCCTGTAAACTTTCACTCAATCCAAAATAAAAACATTTAATAATAATTAAAAAAAATGTTACTATGAGGACTAAGGTAAACCTGACCAAAGATATGGTGTTTTCAGTTGCCTCATATGCATGTGAAAACTGGACAATAAATAAGACTGGAAAAGGATTGCTGCCGTTGAATTTTGGTGTTGGAGAAAAATACTATGGAAATAATACCAGGACTGCTAGAAGAAGGAACAAATCTGCCTTGGAAGAAGTACAATTGGCTTGTTCCTTGGAAGCAACAATAGGGAGACTTCGTCTTACTTTCAATATGTCAGGAAGGACAAATCCTTGAAGGACATCATGCTTGGTAAAGTGGAGAGTCAGTGAAAAAGAGGAAGACTCTTAAGATGGATTGTTACAGTGGCAACAACAATGGGCTCAAACATAACAATTGTGACAATGGTGCAGAACTGGGCAGTGTTTCATTCTGTTGTAGATAAGGTAGCTAAGATTCATAACAAACTCGATGATACATAACAACAACTAAAGCAACCTTAGCCTAAGAACCTTTTTGTGTTTCTGTTAACACAACCATCCATTTCAAGTCCTTAAATGATGTAGGCATGGTGTTACAGCTAGGGATGCAGGGAAGGTGGTGATGCAAAAGAATCACATTTTCTCTGGCTGTGTGCCTAATCCTTAGGGGGAGGGGCAGTTGCTTGATAATAAAGTGTGTGTTATTTTTAAAGAAAGCTAAACTAAAATGGTTTTCATATTTTCTATTTAACAGTATTTTCAAAAGTCTTTTAGTAATGCAAAAGTTCAATTATAGAAACACCCAGAATAAAGGACTTAACGTCAGATAATGATAATGCTATCTATAAACAATTAGTGAATGTTCAAAATCAAACAATCAGGCCTTATCTGATAGAGACTTACTATTTTAAATAATTTTAAAAATGTATGTAGCATAAAAGGAGCTCTGGTAGCGTAGTGGTTATGAATCGGGCTGTGAACTGCAAGGTAAGCAGTTCAAAACTACCAGCTGCTCTGTGGGAGAAAGATGAGGCTTTCTGCTCCCGTGAAGATTTACAGCCTCGGAAACCCTGTTCAGGGTCACTATGGGTCGGAACCGACTCCACGGCATTTAACAACAACCACATGTAGCATAAAATATTGAAGTTTAAATAAAATTACTTATAGACAGCATTAGGAATTTAATAAATTACCGTATTTCAATGTGAGAGATGTTTCAAATAATAAGACTGCAATTAGCACATCTTCTTTAAGTACTTTATTCCTTAAGCTTAGTCGAGCATGAGCTTCAGATAGGGAAACTCTAAAGGAAAAGAAAAATTAATGTCAATCTCAAATGTGGGTTATGCAAATAATTTATATTTGGGCCCCAAATCAAGACATACATGAACATTAGCTACACTTCTTTAAAGAGCAGCATATTTTTACTATAAAATTTTATAAAATTTCTTTTTGAAAAAAAAAAATTTTTTCCCTAATTTGAATAGAAAGGAACCCTGGTAGCATAGTAGGTTATGCATCAGGCTGCTAATCTCAAGGTCAGCGGTTTGAATCTACCAGCCGCTACAAGGGAGAAAGATGAGGCTTTCTAATCCCTTAAAGATTTACAGTATTAGAAACCCTACACAGGGTTGTTATGAGTCTGAACCAACTTGACAGCACACAGCAGCAGCAACAGCAATTTGAATATATTCCAAAAGACATGTATCCTGACAAAGAGTCACTGGCTTATTGTTTTCATCCTACCCTGCACCTCCACCACTACCAAGTTCTGTTCAGATAAATACACAGTTGGGGAAATTAATCTTACTAAATATATTCATTTCTTTGAGACACATCCTGGATATTTTCTCCCAGTCCTTCATCTATCTGAAGTCCTTACAGAATCTAGAAGGAATCTTAGAGTTCAAATTCCCATCAGATGATTGACTTTCTTCTGCAATATCCCACGCTCCTCTTTTAGTCCCTGTTTAATCTCTCCTACGATTCATTGCTGCATGAGGCAATCCATTTTTTAAAATTAAAGCTTTGATTACCTGAAAGATTGGCCTTGACCTTTCAATAAGGCAGATGCATTATATTTGAGAGATATGAACTTGAGAACCAGAAAACTTGTGTAGTGTCTCTAGTATTTACTAGTTGTGTGATGGTGTAAATAATTTCATTTCTGAGACTTTTCCTCTCTTGTGGAAGCTCAGCTATAAAATGGGGATTGTAGTAATTTATAGGATTATTGTAAGTTCAAATAAGTAAAGCCATTTGGAAGTTTTATGACCAACCTACAAAGTTTATATAAATGTAAGATGATATTGGCTTCATTGCAATTTCTACCCATTGGTCCTTGGTTCTGTCTCCTGGGACAACACAACAAGCCAAATCCTTCAAAACTGATAGCTAGCTCAACCACTCAAAGACGATTTATGATAGTGACCCATGTTTCCTTTTCTCCAAGTTTAAATATTCTTGGTTCCTTTAATATGTCACGAGACACTATTTTTCGTCTTCTCACCATCATAGCTGGGAAGAGCTATGGCGTTGTAGGGTAAGAACTGGACAGCGAACCACAAGGTAGGTAGTTCAAATCCACCAACTACTGCTCTGTCAGAGAAAGATGAGGCTTTCTCTTCCCACAAAGATTTACAGCCTTGGAAACCCTATACAGGGTTGCTATGTGCCAGAACTGACTCCATGGCACTTAACAACAAAACAGCCATTTAGCTACTTCCTGACCAGGACTGGCTAATACTCTTTCAGTCCAAGTACTATAGGTATGATTTGCTGTAGAGGTAGAACTAGCATATTTTTTTGCTCTTGATACTATATTAATACAACTTCAAACCTCATTATTACTAATACATAATTGTATACTCGTAAACATAAAAATAATGAAACCATATGTCTTTTTCGTATCTTCTCGCAATACGATCCTTTATTACACATTCACACTTGTACTAAGAGTTTGAGTTTAAATGAGAACTTTACATTTATCCTGTTAACTTTGATGGGTTTAGACTAAGATCATCATTTGAGCCTGTGAGGATCTTTCCAGTTCACGTAATTATAAGTTTGATTATGTTGTTGAAGTACACATTTAAGCCCCTTCGAAGAATGCACCAGGACAGAATATGCCCTGCAGAGAAGTGGAAGAAAGATTCAGCTTCATTTCACTGGAAAAGCAAAGGTAGTGCAGTCCGGCACCTGCCCACAGAAGTGGGAGCAGGCAGGGCTTATTTATACAGTAT